ATTGGACGTGCGGTGAGTATATGTTACATATTTCCATCGAAATAGTTACCGGGTCACCGCCGATCAGCGTATTCCTGCGGGCGAGCCAGCCGCCGGCCGAGCGCAATCATGTATGTCGATATTCTCGCCGCTAGATGGCAGACGTGCACCAATGTCGCGGCTGGTAATGGCGCACGCGGGGAGTTTCCAATCCATTATATAGTTATCCATGATTTAAGGCTATATATTACTCTTCTTGCAGGGGAACGCAACGTGTAGCAGGCCGCTGCACCAACGGAGACACACCTGGCCGGCGAACATGACCTGATACATGAGCTTATACACAAGACTGTGACAAGCTGTGACATTGTATGATAAATGCATGCTATATTTTATTCAAGAAATACATTTTCCATTTTTTAATTCTATTTCTTTCCGAATGAAGATCGAGGCGAACGTGTACTTGCGGACTGCAGCAGCTGACTGAGCGAGGCTCCTGGATTCTGTGAGGATAAAGGATCATTTTCAACAAGTTTTTTTTAGGCTGTACTATGTATTCCCAATAAAATTGTCTAATTGGAATGACCTATTGAAGTCAAGCAGATGTCCAATAGGGTATCCATTTAGGTCCTATTGGACATCTTATTGGATCCAATTGGATATCCTATTGAACATCCAATTGGATCGAATTGGATATCCTATTGGACATCTAATTGGATCCAATTGGATATCCTATTGTACATCTAATTGGATCCAATTGAATATCATACTGGACATCTAATTGGATCCAATTGGATATCATATTGGGCATCTAATTGGATCCAATTGGATATCCTATTGGACATCTGATTGGATCCAGTTGGATGTCCTATTGGACATCTAATTGGTTCTAATTGGATATCCTATTGTACATCTAATTGGATCCAATTGGATATCCTATTGGACATCTAATTGGATCCGATTGGATATGCTATTGGACATCCTATCGGACATCCTATTGGACAATCTATTTGAAAGCTCAATGGGATTGTCCAATTGGATCCAATTGGATTTTTTACTAGGGAGGTCTACCTCCTGCTCTCCCCTGGCGACAAAGCCAAGGTGGTGGCCTCCCCGCGATACCAGGACCGATTGAGCCACTTCAAGCAAGCAAAGACCAGTCATCTTTCGGGTGTGGTGCAAGGCGTAGACAGCGCCTGGCGGTAGGGGACCGCGTTACGGTAAACGGGCCATGTAGTAGCGGACATTGGGGCACCGAAGAAGAAAACACCATGTTCTTGGGCGTTAAAAAAGCCTTGGTGTGTCTACGTAAATGGCGCGCATGATACATCTCTTGCGCATTATTGTTTTCGCGCTAAAACTATGGCCTGTAGTACGCGAATTTTTATATAGGTAGATCAAAAGTCATTTTGGCTGTTATATTTTTGAGTTTCAATGTTTTTTTTTTTGTTCAATCTTAAACATAAAAGGTTTCAATAAAAAATAAATATTTTAGATAGCTCATTTTTACAGGAAAAATGAACTCAATATTCTAAAAAGAACTTTGCGTACTTTCACACTCAGTAGTTCGTTGTGTGTGGCGACAAGATAGAACTGTCTGAGTCGTTTCTTGATTTCAAATTACCTACTTGTGCTGGTTTTGTTTTAATTTACCTTGGTACTAAGTGAGGACATGGATTGAAGCTCAACGGTACGTATATTTCCCACTGTTTGAAGCGTTCATTGACATTATTTCGAATATAGAGCATACCAAATATTATTATCTCTAAACTATGAGAGGAGTGTTACATTTTTTTTTTGCTTTAGTTACGTCTGATGGACGAAGTACCTAGTCTTTTTTGTTGCATTATATTAAGCTGCTGAGAAAATTTGGGTAGGTACAGCAAAAAAGTTTGCTTCCATGCTGTCTCCCCTCTCAAACATGATTGGATTCACATGATCATGACTATCAGTGATACTGTGATACTGGAGAGGACGTTGTGGTCGGGTGGTGGGTTCTTGTTGCTTCGCAACAAGCTCTGATTAGCGGGCACTGGGGCCCACAGCCACCCATTCAAGCATTCGTACTAAATTTCTTAATAAAAAAAAAATGATTACACGGGCTATATAATCACACAGAATCAAACATCTGTTTTTCATTTACTTTCAACCATTTTCTTCTTTAAATAGTTGCCTAATTGATGTGTCAGGTAAAATGATGTCAGTTTCTTGGTGTATTTGTGTGTTTGAGGGGACACCAAACATATTGTTATCCAGAATCATGTTAACCCGTTAAACAACTCTGTTATTGTTTTGAACAATTCATTAGGAACCTGTGTTTAAATGAGGATCTATAAGTATATGTCTATGTGGGTGTTCCACTGGCTCTGCCTTGAGAAACCAATATATACCTATATATTGTGTCAATTATTGGATGTCTTTCCTCGGTTTGCTCAATCAAACAGCATTCATGCATCCAATAATTGCTCTGCACAGTACACATATCCCAGAGGTATGGTCAATTCAATAGAAATAGCAGTTCCAGAGACAATTGGATACTCATGAAGGGGGCGCTTTCAATTTTTATGAGGTTTAATGTGCACATTCGTTTTCTTTTCAGATGAATGGGATACCTCCTGCTAAAAAAATGATAACATGAGGTAAAATGATGTCAGTTTCTTGGTGTATTTGTGTGTTTGAGGGGACACCAAACATATTGTTATCCAGAATCATGTTAACCCGTTAAACAACTCTGTTATTGTTTTGAACAATTCATTAGGAACCTGTGTTTAAATGAGGATCTGTAAGTATATGTCTATGTGGGTGTTCCACTGGCTCTGCCTTGAGAAACCAATATATACCTACATATTGTGTCAATTATTGGATGTCTTTCCTCAGTTTGCTCAATCAAACAGCATTCATGCATCCAATAATTGCTCTGCACAGTACACAGCAGTGCTGTGGTATGGTATGGTCAATTCAATAGAAATAGCAGTTCCAGAGACAATTGGATACTCATGAAGGGGGCGCTTTCAATTTTTATGAGGTTTAATGTCCACATTTGTTTTCTTTTCAGATGAATGGGATACCTCCTGCTCGGTTTTATGGACGCTACAAGTCACACAAGTGCCCAAATCAGAGCCTCATATTAATTGCAGACCAGCTACAGACTAGTATTTTCAAATCGCTTCGTTTTCCTGTTAGAGAAAAAGCCACCAAGACCATCAGACTCCAAATTCGCAAGAAGGACGCACCATTTCTCAACAACAAGTCTCTTGAGGATATATTGAAAACATACTGCACAAGCTATGATGACAGCTGGAACATCCGCTTCATTTCCGAGGAGGGTGATGCCAACATGGTTGTGTCAAGTCGTGTCACCATCAGAAAGCTGCGCTCCGACAAACATTATGTTCAAAGTGGTGGCGAGTTCGTGGAAGTGCGCCGTCATCACGGAATGGAGCTGGTGGTGAAGGTGGTGAGGGCGAGGCGTGTGGGTAAGCGTGCCACCATGTAGTGTACCACCATCAGGACAAAGAGAACGGTGAAAACGTAATCACTTATCTTTAGTATAGGTCTGCTTTTTCTTGTTCAGGATATTGTTGAGCTGGTGTGTGGTGTTGTATGCCCAGTAGGAATGTATATTTAGCACAGAAAAACGTTTTGAGTGTGAATAAGGAATGGTTAGTTAACGTATGCAAAACAACTGGATTTGTCTGTGACCTGACTGTAATATCTCTCTGTAAATACTGTGCTGAACATTTCTGTGTCAACCCAATTATTACTGGCAGGGAAAGAGAACTTCTCAGGGTAAAATTAACACATCTGCAGAAAGCGTACAGGGCATCCAGTCGTGGTGGTAGGTGTAGAACTAATTTTCTCAAGTCTGTATCTAAATCACGTGTAAATATCAATGTATCTGGCATTGAAGGCGATGCCAGCGCCATGGCACAGCTTGTGCCAGCTCCAGCCGACGTCTCAGCGCGCCCCGCCACAGCTTCAGCCGGTGGATCGGCGCTCCCCGCTGCAGCTCCGGTCGGCGGATCGGCGCGCCCCGCCACAGCTCCAGCCGGCGGATCGGCGCGCCCCGCCACAGCTCCGGTCGGCGCAGCTCCGGCCGGCGGATCGGCGCGCCCCGCCACAGCTCCAGCCGGCGGATCGGCGCGCCCCGCCACAGCTCCAGCCGGTGGATCGGCGCGCCCCGCCACAGCTCCAGCCGGCGGATCGGCGCGCCCCGCCACAGCTCCAGCCGGTGGATCGGCGCGCCCCGCTGCAGGAGATGGACGGAAGAAGTGTATGCCCAGAGACAATGAAACTGGTATTGCAAAAAGTGATAACCGTGTAATAGTACGCCGAGTCAAAGGACGATATGACACGAAATATCACTTCAGTGTACATACAAACCCGGATGTGACATATGTGCAAGCGCGCCCCGCCGCAGCTCCGGCCGGCGGATCGGCGCGCCCCGCCACAGCTCCAGCCGGCGGATCGGCGCGCCCCGCCACAGCTGCAGCCGGTGGATCGGCGCGCCCCGCCACAGCTCCGGTCGGCGCAGCTCCGGCCGGCGGATCGGCGCGCCCCGCCACAGCTTCAGCCGGTGGATCGGCGCGCCCCGCCACAGCTCCGGTCGGCGCAGCTCCGGCCGGTGGATCGGCGCGCCCCGCCACAGCTCCAGCCGGCGGATCGGCGCGCCCCGCCACAGCTGCAGCCGGTGGATCGGCGCGCCCCGCCACAGCTCCGGTCGGCGCAGCTCCGGCCGGCGGATCGGCGCGCCCCGCCACAGCTTCAGCCGGTGGATCGGCGCGCCCCGCCACAGCTCCGGTCGGCGCAGCTCCGGCCGGCGGATCGGCGCGCCCCGCCACAGCTCCAGCCGGCGGATCGGCGCGCCCCGCCACAGCTCCAGCCGGTGGATCGGCGCGCCCCGCCACAGCTCCGGTCGGCGCAGCTCCGGCCGGCGGATCGGCGCGCCCCGCCACAGCTCCAGCCGGCGGATCGGCGCACCCCGCCACAGCTCCAGCCGGCGGATCGGCGCGCCCCGCCGCAGCTCCGGCCGGCAGATCGGCGCGCCGCCCCTACAGCGAACGTCACAAACGACGTATCAAGCGGAAGCTCATAGACGAAGCAGATTACTACGGTATCAAAATTTCTTCAAGTCCGGATTCGTCACCATCGCCAAATGCAAGCACAATATCTGAAGTTCTGGACAGCTCTGGTATTTCTATGCGGAAGTATGCCAAATTAGCCGCCACAACACCAACCCTGCCGAGACAGCACAACGTTCGACGCTTCCGGCAACAGTAAGTTCGGAGCGAAACTGTTTTATTGTCAATTTCCTTTTTTATACGATGGGGGGATGTTTTTGCATAGGTTAAAAAGCCGAGTCTTTGTTAGTGTCAAAATGCATGCACCATCACGCTTAAGCATTGATATCCTGAAGTGAATTGCCGACCCGATATACTGTATGCGCGATTTGCTTTATAATTGTTTCATGTCAGCAGACACTTCACAACCAGGTGAATATGACGTGTTAACTGTCAGTGGGACGGTTGGAATTTGCCAATTTTGACTTAAATTTTATTTCCAGGCTCAACGAACAAATCGCCATCACTGACACTGATCATGGTGCTCGGAGGCAGCTCCGTGACCTGCTTACGGCTATGAGACCCTCCGTCAGAAACGGACCTGACAATTCGGTCCGCGTGAAGATATCAGGTATGCTGACGGATTTTCAAAACTATGCATTTTGCAGGGCATGTGGCTGATATGTGACCTCGTACGCAATTGACCAATTGACCGCCATGCTCCGGGTCTGCTTCATCATTTCAACCAGAGGCCAATGGGGAATTCCGCTTACGAAAGTGATATTTGGCTGCCTGATTGATTAATACATATCTCAGGAGTCAGGCTTGTGCTAAGTAAAGGGTGTGTTTTTTTGCTTTTACTTGGATGGCCAATAATAAAGCATCTAATTTGTTCTAAGAACACTTACTAAATAGCAAGTATGAAAATGATACCACATTTCGCTAAATGAAAAAAAAAAAACTGTTTCAGGCGATGGTGCACCGGTGGGGAAGTACCGGAGTTTCCTGAATCTTTCCGTGAGCCTCCCTGATGAGCCGACACCAGCACAACGACAGCCGAGACTCCTCGAGATCAGCACAGCAAAAGAATGCTGGTCAACTCTACAGACACTCCTTAGACCACTCAACAATGAAATTGAAGAAATCCAACGCGACGGATTAGATGTCGACGGCTCTCATCTTTCGGTTGTATTCTTCTTTGGTGCAGATTATAAATTCATTCTCCTATCGTGTGGGATGAAGGACGCAACATCCAATCATGCATGTATTTACTGTGAATCCAAAAAGTGCAACTATTTTCGACAGGGGGGGCTTAAGTCAGGAAGGGCTTTAAAGTTGGTGATCCAGGTGTAGCCCACAACCCTCTTCTACCTGCCATTCCGGTCGATCGGATTGTGATCGACGTTCTCCACCTTTTCCTTCGGACATCAGACAAGCTTCTGATGATGATCTGTCGTGAGGTGCCGGAGGAAAAGGTGGCCGAGTTCGTAGGCCACGTTCAGCAGCAGATAACGTGCCGCGGAAAGATTGTGGCACGGGATGGAAAAATTGAGTTCCAAAACTGTGACTCGAAGGATCGCGTCAAAATTCTCAATTATCTTGTGTCGTCCGATGTCCTTGTGAAAATCATTGGTCAGAAGCGGGGTACTCTACTTCGGCTAGTACTCGTTAAATATGACAAGGCACTGGAGGTTCTACGTAAAAGCGCTGACGATGAAGAAGTTAGACGCGAATGCTTGGGCCTCATGAAAATGTATATATCTGTCTTTCAGTCGGCGATGGTGACACCCTATTTCCACATTATGTTTTTTCATTGTGGGGATATCGTGGCTCGTGTGGGATGCCTGAACGTCTTCACTCAGCAGCACGTTGAAAAACTCAATCATTCTGTCACGTCAACATTCCTTACCACGACAAATTTTACTAACGGCGTTCGGCAAGTCCTTCAAAATCATGGGAGAAGAATTCTGTATCCTCTGGAAAATGTGCCTCTCTGAAACTGTGCTCTTTCGTGATCATCGAGCTTGACGACATTACAAGTGGCAATGGATGTAGCGTAAATATTGCAAGCGCACGAATATTGAAATATACCGACAGTGTTGATGTCCATTCGTTTACTGGTTTTTAATAATGTGGCGTTGGATGTGTGGTTGAAGTGTCATGCATTTTTTGACTGCCATTGTCAAAACATGTGCATTGTTCCATACTATTTCACGACATTTTTTATTTATGAACTATTAATTAATACGTTGTGCGTTTAAACTGACAGTGATGACTAATGACAAAGAGCTGCTACAAGTCGGGGCTGTAGACATCTTGTCTTGTCAGTTACCTACTGACGGAAATAACGGGGGATCAATTACACCACACGGGTATTTGTGGCGGCGCCATGTATGAAGTCAGACGATAAGGGTCAGTGGAAAACTTTCCAGATTTTAGTCAGTCATGTATTATGAAAGTCAATTATGAAGGTAATAGCTTATCATGTGTTTCAAAATCATTGTTGGCGTGGAAGCAATGCCAAGTTCTCTCCATGCCAAGAATGGCAATGCCAAGAATGGCAATGCCAAGAAACATAGGTTTCTGCAATAAGTTAAGTTCAAGTATACATGTTTAGAAGGAAAAATATTGGGCCGATTGTTTAAGGTATGCTGTTAAAAATGGCTCAAAAAACGTAAAATGCGTTTGCCATCTACATCGTAAAGCGATCAATCCCATACATTAGTGACTAAACGGCATAATATCCCTAGTCAGACTCGGGCAGGGCATCAATCATCACACCCTTTTTTTTCTACGTTCGAATCCCGGGTCGACTTTTTTAAAATATATGGTTGAAAATAACACATTATGTATAAAATATACCTGCTTTTTACACAGCATAGTGACATTTTTAATAAGAAGTCCCAAAGTCCATTGACTATGTTTATTCTCTGACTTGACTATGTCCATTGACAAGTTTATAGGACCAGGAGGGAACTGCATATCTTTTCCTTCTACCTTCGGATCCCGGGTCGAATTTTTTAGATATATGGCTGAAAATAGCACAAAATGTGTAAAATGTTCTTGCCTTTTACACAGTACAGTGACATTTCTTGTAAGAGGTCCCAAAATTAATTAACTACACATAATATAGACGTAGATTAGAGCAGGTCATCATATATATTTTTTCTTCTACGTTCGAATCCCGGGTCGAATATTTCGCCAATCTAGTTGAGCAGGGCCTCAATGCGTAGACAGATTAGCAAACTATGGTGTGAGATACCGACATTTTTGTATTAACGCTCGACTTCGGTACGCTGTACCGTTTTCTTTGAAAATCCGCGCCTCGGCTACTTTTAGTTCCCACGAATACCGATAGGCGGCGCTGGCGTCGCGTCTGGCGGCTTGGCCGCGCCTGACGCATATCGCGACTGTTCAAACTATTAACTTATTAGCAACACAGGAGAAACACTGGCTCTAAAGATCAGGGGCGCCTGATTTGGCAATGGTCGTAAATGTCGTAAATGCGTAGGCATTTACGACACACGCATTCAGGGACCGGCGTAATCTACCACACGGGCCACCCGCTCAATGAGCCAATGCTGTCATGGCCGCTCTCATGACCACCCAGATCAGGTTCAATGAACACCAAAGCAAGCGGACAGAGGGCTCTGCTCCGGGGAGTGCAGCTTCCGAGGGCCCGACCGATCGTCACTGCCACCCTGCCCTCCCCGACGCCGCGACTGGTGCAGGTGCAGGTGGTGCGGCTGGTGCAGCGGCAAGTGATGCAAGTGGTGCGGACGGACCGCAGCCGACCACCGCATTACCTTTGGCTGCCGGCCGACACGGTCGGTCAGGTACAGACGCGCCGCAGCCAGTCAGAGGACGACTCTCCCGCCTCCGCCGCTGCCAAGAGGCCCTGCGTCCGGAAAATGTCTACCAACACCCGCGCCCAGTGAAGGGGAGCTCTGACGGCGGCAACGGGCCACAGGCGCGGCAAGGGCATAGTCATAGTCAGTTTTAGGGCGGGCCCAGCCGCAATAGTGTTTTGCCCCAAAGAAAACCCCGGATTAACATGAAAAGTGGATGGGAAAGTTTAGTAAGAAAAATTACATGCACATGTATTGAGTGTTGTGCGAGTGCATGTGCATGTATTGAGTGTCGTATTTATTATTTCAATGGATCTCGAGGCATATTGCATGTTAGCTTTTTCAGGTCTGCCACACACTCGTATCGTCATCTGGATGGCCCCTGACGACAAGTCGCGTCCGGACCAGATAGACGACTGTGTTGTGGCAGACCCTGCCAAGGATCCGAAGCTGCACGGCTTGGTCAGCTCTAAAATGGTTCACGGACCGTGCGGCGGCCTCAACCCGAGGTCGGCCTGCATGTCCGACGGCGCTTGCACGAAAAAGTTCCCTAAGGACTTTCAGCGGGAGACGGTGGTGCCTGAGCGCGGCTACCCACTGTACCGCTGCCGCGCCGGAGGACGGCGGTTTCACCGTCGAGCCGCGCGGCCGTCCTGCCGACCGAGACCGCCCGCGGCTGGACAGCCGCTGGGTTGTCCCTTACAACCCCTTCCTTCTGCGCGCCATGAGGGCCCACGTTAACGTGGAGGTTATCAGCCACTCGACCTCCTGTGTTAAGTACATGGTTAAGTACGTGCAGAAGGGCTCCGACCAGTCCACCTACACCGTGGTGACTGAGGAGGGTGAGCTGGACGAGGTGGCCACCTACCAGCACTGCAGATACCTGGGCTCGATGGAGGCGTCCTGGCGCCTACTGGACCTGCCGATCCACGAGCACCATCCAGCCGTCGAGCAGCTGTACCTCCACCTCAGTGACGACGAACGGCGGCTTCAGTTCCGGAATGACGCCAATCTGGAGGTGGTCCTCCAGAAGCAGCGAGCCTCAAAGCTGACCGTCTTCTTCCAGCTGAGCGCCGAAGACGAATTCGCATGTACTCTGCTCTCACTGACGTCACGTACCGCGCGCGGCCGCCATGACAGTGGGTATCGAACCTGCGCCGAAAAGGCCGCCGATGTGTTTACTTGTGTTATGAGAGCGGTGCGGTTTCTGTGTGTTGGGGGTTTAAGGCCGTCTCTTGGTTAATTTCTTGTTTGCGAGAGTGTATTAAGTATGGCAGGAGTGAAACGGAGAAAAGTGGATCTTGATCAGGGCTTTTTGCCAGGTAATTCTAGTACAATACAAGATGAGAGAGGGCGTGAAAGGTACAAAGACAAACTTGGCTACCTCTCTGGTATGGACCCCTATGAAGTGCCTCTGAAGGAATGGGAAGATAATGTGGAGCTGTGGCCCTCAATCTCGTACATTCATGATGGTATGTATGTACCTCCTATTCTCATCAAGTGCGTACACCCAGGACCAGCTCATGGACTGTTACAAGAAATTTACAAGTGGCTGGGTCAGAGAGCTTTATGTGAAGAGGACAGGTGATGACAGAAGGGTGGTGATTGGGAAGGTGAACCATTCTCAGAGGCTGTCAGAAAAACCTCTCACCCCTGGGTGGTCTGCAAACCATCTGGCAGAGTGCTCGCGGCACACTGACTGCATGGCAGGTCTTGGTGAGACATGTAGTCATGTCGCATGCTTGATGTAGGCCATAGAGGCTGGCTCAAAGAAGAGAGAGTGCCTATCAGTGACAGACAAAAAGGCATACTGGGTCCTACCTGGTGCGGTAAAAAAGGCAGAACCTGCTCGGCTGCGTGACATCAAGTTTACTGACACTCCGAGGCCGAATGCCAGTGCACCTCACCATAGCAAGACACCGTCAGCCTCAGAGGAAGAGTTTAATAACTTTCTAAGAGGTTTTTCAAAGGGAGGGGTTAAGTCGAAGCCCGCAGTTCTGGCTCTGGTGGAACCATTTGCGTCAGCTTATGTACCAGAAAGCCTCAGCAATCTCCTCCCACCTCTTCTCTGTGGGATGTTCAGCAAGGCCATGCTGGGCAAAGGATACCAAGAGCTTCTGGATGAAGGACAGAAAATGAAAAGCATGTATGATGCTTTTCATGCATGCATATTGCATGTATTTTAACATTTGCTCCTTCTTAACAAAACGGGCCGGGGGGAGGGGGCATGGCAAAAAAAAAAACCCTCCTGGAAACGCCTATGCCCATGTAACATCACTAAATCACTCACCAGACACAAAATGATCACTGCACACAAAGCTATAGTTGGTCAACCTCAGGTTCTTCCGCCATATCGCTGAAACCCACTTCCTTCTGCGAGCAAGGCTCAGCCGGCGAGTCTTCTCATCGGACCGCGTTATTATAGCTGGTATTTTGAAAAAACTATGGCCCTTTTCGCGTGTACTCTTGTTAGAGCAGTTGAAAACTGCGCAGGATCTAACCATAACGTCTTTAGCCACCCCCAGGCGTCAAAAACATTAATAACACCGGCCACACACAAACAACCCACGCACCCACACACGCTGTTTACAACCTGCGATACCCACTGTCATGGCGGCTGGTATGACCGCCGCCATGCTGATGACGTCATGTGAGAAGACCCTATACAGAGGTGTCGAAGCACTACACGTGGAGTACGGGTGCGACACGCTGGCAGCAACACCCCGGCATTTTTTTCATTACTCATTTCATTTCATTACAGCTTTTCATTACATTTAAGATCGATGTCATCGACATCGCATCTTAACCCGCGAGTTGCTGGGGGGGGGGGGGCGTTAAACGCCCCCACTTTTTTAACCGGGCCATAGCATAAAAATGGCGCGCCGCAGGCGCGCCAAATTTTGGATACCTGTAGGGAATTGATTGAAGGTTATTGTGATCAAGTTTCAAAAAAATCGGTCGGAAATTTTTTGAGATATCGAGGTTTTAGTGACGTCATGACTTCTGAGTTTTCGACCAAAAACGGCATATGTTCAAAAAATCATATAAAATCACAGAATAGACATACCGACATGCCGTAAACGCCATTAGAATGCCAATACCATGAACAATCAAATGGCCATCTTCGATTATTGATTATCGTTCCACATTTTCCAAAATCTTGAACTGAATCTTGACAATTTCTCGTGACTACTTCACGACCATGATACATGAATTTCTTAAATTGAACTTTTTGAGCCAAACACGTACACATATGATAAAATGAATGTCACCATCGTGTTCTACGGCCCAAATTACCCATAAAAAATGTGTCATAGGCTGCG